CGGCCCTTCCTGATCCCTAACGCTCAGTGGGCCTCCGTGGCCAGCTCCCAACACCTCTTATGTGCCAGGTACTGTTCTCTAGGTGATGAGAATAAAATAGTGAAGGAGACAAGAGCCCTTTCATTAAGTTTGTGTTTTAGGCTGGTCGCGGTGGCTCATGCCTGTAATCCCAGCACTTTGGGAAGCAGAAGAATCACTTGAGTTCAGGAATTCGGGATCAGCCTGGGAAACATAGAGAGAACCTGCTTCTATTAAAAAATAAAAAATAAGAGGCCCTGATGTGGCAGGAAAATGGTGATCATGGCGCCTCCTCCAGGAGGCTGCTGAGGGGATGGCAGGTCCCAGGTGGCCACTGGTGCCGCTATGGATGCAGCTGAAGTAGAGTTTCTGGCGGAGAAGGAGCTGGTGACCATCATCCCCAACTTCAGTCTGGACAAAATCTAGCTCATCGGGGCGACCTGGGACCTTTCAGCCCCAGCTTGCTGGTGGAGGTGTTGCTGTGGCTGGCCATCAAACTGAAGCAGAGAGAGAGGGGCCATCCGCTGCCCCTAGTGTGGATGGACATGGAGAAGCTGGAGATGATGAGGCACCGCGAGCGACAGGAGACCTTCACTCTGATGCCCAGCCCTTACTACACAGAACTCACCAAGCTCCTGTGGAATCATGCTTCAGACAACATCCCAAAAGCAGATGAGATCCGGACCCTGATCAAGAATACGTGGGACACATGCATAGCTAAGCTCTGAGTGTCCACTGACAGCTCTGTGAGACAGCAGGAGGTGCATGCCAAGCTGGACAATTTTACCTAGATGGAGATCAACGCCAGCGGGGCCTTCCTCATGCAGGCCCTGAACCACACGTACAAACTCTGCTGAACCCTCCAGCCCTCTGAGAATGCCCAGTCCCAGGATTTCTAGGGAAAGCTGTGGTGTGTAGAACCCTGAGCATGCTGGGTAGTGAGCGCTCAGGACAGGGAGGAGGCACACGTGGTTCTGGAGCTCTGGAAACGTTTGCAAATGTGCTAGAAACGTGTTATGGTGCAGGAACGGGTTTATAACGTTGTATGAGATGTAGCAAATTTGGGAATAGTCCTCAACACATTCTTCAAGTGCACAGTTATTTCTAGAAGCTAGCCCTCCTTTTTTGGAGGAAAGAAAAAGCTTTAGGCAAATGCTACTCTCCGGGGATGAGCCTCAGGCCTCCTGCATAAAGCCGCCAGGCACCTGCAAGCATTCAGTGACTGTCAGGTGTCTATGCAGCAGGAGTAGTGAGGCAGCCCGAGGGCTTTTTCCTTCTTGATCCTGATTTCTTGGGTAAATGTGGACTCTTCCTCCAAGGATAGTGGATGGCCCAGCTCGAGATGCCGACTGTGCTGCTCCTCCATGCCCGATCCACAATAAAAATGAAAAAAAAACAAGCAAACAAACACATTTCTTTTTTCTTTTTTTTTGAGTTGGAGTCTCACTCTGTCACCCAGACTGGAGTGCAGTGGCATGCTCCCAGCTACCACAGCCTCGACCTGCTGGGCTCCAGTGATCCTTCTGCCTCAGCTTTTCAAGTAGCCAGAATTACAGGTGCACGCTACCACGCCCGGATAATTTTTGATTTATTGTAGAGACGAGGTCTTGCCAAGTTGCCCAGGTGGGTCTCTAACCCGCGGACTCAGGCAATCTACATGCCTCGGCCTCCCAAAGTGCTGGGATTACAGGCTGAGCCACTGAGCCTGGCCCAAACACATTTCTAATAATGATATGAGTTATAAAAAATATAAGCAGGATAATGTGATAGAGACAATGGAGGCTGGATTGGCAAGAGGATGACAAGATGGTATTAGTCACACACTCAATAGTTTCTCCAGTAGAATCAGTGGCATGTGCAAAAATCCTGAAGTGGTAATGGGCTTTGCTGGAGGACATAGAGAAGACCTGTTCGGCTTAAGGATAAGGAGAAAGAAGGGAAAGTGGTACTTGTGATATGTGTTGAGGACAGGGAGGTGGGTATGAGTCAGATATGTGTTGAGGACAGGGAGGTGGGTATGGGTCAGAACCTAAGTGAAGAGATGGGATTTCATTTTCATCACATTTGGAAGCCACAGAAGGGCTTTAAGCAGGGAGTGACAAGAACTGGTTTACATTTGAAAAGACTACTCTGGTTGCTGTGTGGAGAAGAGACAAGGGCCGAGAGTGGAGCAGAGCGCAATGAAGAAGCCTTTAAATGAGGTTATTGTAAGAGACTAAGAGAGTATGATAATTTGGGCAGAGTGGTACTGAAGGTATAGAAAAATTAACCCTATTGGGTTAATGTATTTTGGAGGCAGAATGCCAGGACTTTAAGGACTGGATAGAGGGCAAGAAGAGAAAAAAAGATGACTCTTGTATTTGAATCTAATAATCACACAAGAACACAAAGATGTATTAAGGTGTTCACCTCAGTGCTTGTATTAGTGAAAAACCGGAGCAGACATTAAGCATCTAGCAAAAGAAATGTGAAATCTTGGTGCACTCATGTAACGCTGCTTAAAAAACAGCTTAGGCTGGGCATGGTGGCTCATACCTGTATATCTAGCACTTTGGGAGACAGAGGTGAGAGGACTGCTTGAGCCCAGGGATTCGAGTCCAGTGTGGGCAATTTGGTGAGACCTCGTCTCTACACTAAATCAAAAAATGAGTCTGGCGTGGTGACACGTGCCCGTAATTCCAGCTATTTGGAAGACTGAGCCCAGCAGGTGAAGGCAGCGGTGGTCGTGAGCGTGGGTGACAGTGGGACTCCGACTCAAAAATACCCCCAAAACAAAAAAAAAAAGCGTAAAGATCATGACACATGTTGAGTGAAAAAAGCCAAATACAGACCTGCTCTTGTAAAATAAACTATGCATTTATGTATTTGTTCATAGACTAATATTAGGAAAGTACACAAGTTACTGGGGGAGGACCTTTCTATTTGTACTTTATGTCCTTCTGTATTGTTTGAATTTGTTTTTGCAAGGCGCGTATACTGTGTCATTCCTGAAGTTGCAAATATGGTTTAAAATGTCTGATTTCAGACAAGGCAGTCACCTCCCTAGACAGACATTACTGATTCCTAGAGCTAAGGTGTCCTGGGACTCCCTGCGCTCAATGGAAATCTTTCGGACTCAGGCGCCTTTTGTCAGGACCACGTGTACCTTAAACACCGCCTCCGTCCCGCCTCCAGCCCGCCCCCCCATCGCCCCCCATCCCTCCCCCGCCTCGCCATCCCCCCTCCACCTCGCCATCCCCCAATACCCCAGGGATTGAGCACCCTGTAGCCTCGGGTCCCAGGGCCTCTCTCTCCTGCGCATGCTCCTTCCCAGCCTGAGACTGAGAGCCCAGCCTTCACTCACCCAACGCGCAGGAGTACAGCCCCCTCCCCACGCCCCTTCCCCACGAAGGCGTCCGTCGCGTTGTGTTTGCGTCATCGCGCCACGCCACCACTGGAGGCTGGGGAAGATGGCAGCCGCCGTTCTTAGTGGGCCCTCCGCGGGCTCCGCGGCTGGGCCTCCCGGAGGGGCCGGGGGCCTCTCGGCAATGAACTCTGGTCCGCGCCTTCGCCTGCTGCTGCTGGAGAGCGTTTCTGGGTTGCTGCAACCGCGAACAGGGTCCACCGTTGCTCCCGTGCATCCTCCGACGCGCTCGGCCCCACATTTGCCCGGGCTCATGTGCCTATTGCGGCTGCATGGGACGGTGGGCGGGGCCCAGGTAAATCCGTGGCCCTAGTGCCCGCGGCACCTGTGCGCCGGGATTAGGGTGCACTGAAGCTGCAGTAGGGTGGTTGAGAGGAGCAGAGCTGAGGGCAGAAAGGGCATCCAGATATCAGTCCGGCTGCCCTTCATGTGTTTCTCCATTATCCGTCATGAGTTTCTGCGGCCTTATTTCTGTTGCTGAGCTACTGATTGGTAGGCACGCAGGATTGGATTAGGTTTCAGGCCCGGTCATTCACTGGTATGATCTTCAGCCTCTTTTCTTCTGGCAGTATCTATCTTTGGGCTTGTTTAGACCGAGTTAATGGGCGTATTGAACAATAAATATTCACCGAGCTCTTTCTGAGGGCCGGATACGCTCCAGTTACAGACGTGGTGGCGATACACAAAATGCTGTAAAACACGATGAAAATTGAATATCAGGGTCCACTAACCTAATCTGGGGACTTGAAGAAATTTTTTAAAGTAATAGAAGTTTAAGATGAGGCCCTAAGGATAGGATTGTGTAGGTCAAGAAAATGGGAGGGTGGTTCAGTTAGAGGAAAGCTCTTGTGAGAAAGGCTGGTGCAGGGAAGAAATTGAAAAGGGCGTTGTTCTTGGGGCTCAAATGTGGAGGGGAAGAGAGTGGGATCAAGCTGGTCAAGTGGGTAGCGAGTGGTCAGACAGGTTACATAGAGCTTTGTAGGCAGAGTTAGAAGGATCCTTTGAGCTACTGTCAGAGCAGACTCTAACATCCATTCAGTTCTGCGAGCTAGAAACCTAAATATCATCCTAAACACTTTCTTCCTCACATCTCTGTAAGCAATCTCTCAGGTCCTTGATTTTATGGTTTGAGTAGTTTTCAGATCTGTCCTCTCCTTTCCATCTCTTTCCCATTGCCCCCGTTCTAACTTGAACCCCCATCATCTTGCCCCAGTGAAGACACTGGTTCTAAGAAGACATAATGTATCTAGCCCTTAGTAGGTGCTCCTTTAATTATCTCCTACTTTTCCTCCTCTCCCACTAACCTTCCCCCAAATTCTACCCATCCTTCAAGACCCGTATATATGAGGTCTTTCTTATCTCCCCTTCATTCCTGGGACCTTCCCAGCTGTGTTTCCTTCCAGGAAGAGGGTTGTCACAACTTGCTGGGTGGTTTAATAATCTCAGCCCCAGACTTATCAGAGATGATCTCATCTGTTAGTCTTTAACATTTTTTCTGCATAGTTGAGGATGACAAAACTATGTCTCTGCTGTCTCAGCTCACTATCAGAGGCAGGAATGGATTCTATGTTTTCTCTTCTCTCTGAATCTCCCTCCTCTAATCATGTGGTTCCCTTTCCTCAGTTGTATTGCAGTGGTGTTTTTTTTTCTTTTCTTGTTTTCTCTATTTCAAAAAAACTCCAGAAATGTCTTTTCTTTTTTTTTTGAGTTGGAGTCTCACTCAGTCGCCCAGACTTGAATGCAGGGGCTGCTCCCGGCCACCGCAGCCTCGACCTGCTGGGCTCCGGCGATCCTTCTGCCTCAGCCTTCCAAGGAGCTGGAACTATAGGTGTGCGCTACCACGCCTGGCTAATTTTTGATTTATTGTAGAGATGAGGTCTCGCCAAGTTGCTCAGGTGGGTCTTGAACCCGCGGGCTCAGGCAATCCACTCACCTCAGCCTCCCAAAGGCGCAGGATTACAGGCTGAGCCACCGAGCCCAGCTAGAAATATCTTTTCTTTCATAAGTATTTGTGAAATACCTATCCTGCTTACTAATGGGTGAATTCTTTTATCATCTCTTTCAAGACTTCCCCTCCTCCCTCAGTGCCAACCTTTTAAACTTAGTGTCGTGCTTTTGAATAAAGAAGCTAAGAGTGATGTGGGGACTAGGACTTTTAAAATATTTTCTGTGCCACATTTTTGGGTATGTCTTATCTTTAATTTTTTTCTACTTTTGTCTTTTTTATTGAATTCTCAATAAGTGAGATCATATGGAGCATCTCTTTTGCTTCCCCATAGATTTTTATTCAAAAAATGTTTATTGAGTATTATGTTTTAGGTACTATTCCCATCTCTAGGTAGATAAATAAGACATGATCCTTTTCCTCAGAAGATTTCTAGTCTAGTTAAGATGAGAAATGAGCCAGGCTCAGTGGCTCAGCCTGTAATCCCGTGCCTTTGGGAGGCTGAGGTGAGTGGATTGCCTGAGCCCATGGGTTCGAGACCCTCCTGGGCAACTTGGTGAGACCTCATCTCTACAACAAATCAAAAATTAGCCGGACGTGGTAGTGCGCGCCTGTAGTTCCAGCTACTTGGAAGGCTGAGGCGGAAGGATCGCCGGAGGAGGCTGCAGTGGCTGGGCGTGGCCACTGCATTCCAGTCTGGGCGACAGAGTGAGACTCCAACTCAAAAAAAATGAAAAAAAGATGAGAAATGAAATTGAGCAAATAGCCCTGGAGTTTGAGAGAGGGAGAGATCTGTAGTTTGATTCATCCTTCTGCCAGTTTGACTTTCCCAAAGGAACTCAAAGTTCCAAAATGGAACTAGCACAGTGCCTAAAATCTAGCTTGTATTATAGCAGCAATTTTTAACTGGTCTCTTGCCTCTTTGATCCATTCCCCCTCACAATAATTGGAGTGAGTTTGCCTTGCTTGCTTTCTTTTTTTTTTGAGACAAGATCTCACCCTATCACCCAGGCTGGAGTGCAGTGGCATGATCATGGCTCACCACAGCCTGGAACTCCTGGGCTCAAGGGATTTTCCTGCCTTAGCCTCCCAAGTAGCTGGGGCTACAGGCGCATGTCACGTGACTGGCTAATTTATTTTATTTTATTTTTTTGTAGAGAGGTCTCACTTTGTTGTCTAGGCTGGTCTCGAACTCCTAGGTTCCAGCAGTCTTCCTGGAATTTCCTTTAATTGCAATTCAAATTTTTTGAAAATCAGAAAAATCTAATTAATGATTATGCCTTAACTGAACTACCCAGTGTTTTCTTTATTTTTCTTTATTTTTGAGTCAGAGTCGCTACGGCTGGAGTGAGTGGCACGCTCACGTCTACTGCAGCCTTGCCTGCTGGGCTCAGGTGATCCTTCCACCTCAGCCTTCCAAGTAGCTGAGAATTACAGGGGTGCACCAGCACACCTGGCTATTTTTTTTCTGGAATTACAAGTGTGAGCCACTGTACCTGGTGATTGATTGCTCTTTATTATACCATCTGTTTATTTGTTTCACATATGCATACAACCTCACTCATACTCAACTAATCTTTGATTTGTTTTGTTTTTGTATATAATTTAAAAATCTTCTGTAAAATTTTAGACATACGCAAATAATATTTTGAACCACCCCTCCCTATGCTGTCCCCATCACCCAAGTTCAACATTGAACGTTTGCCAATCTTATTTCATTCCTCCCCAACTCTGCATCTCTCTCTCTCTTTTTTTTTTGAGTTGTAGTCTCACTCTGTCGCCCAGACTGGAGTGTCGCCCAGCCTCGACCTGCTGGGCTCCGACAATCCTTCCGCCTCAGCCTTCTGAGTAGCCAGAATTACAGGCGCGTGCTACCACGCCCGGCTAATTTTTTTTTGATTTATTGTAGAGATGAGGTCTCGTCTGTCCAGGTGGGTCTCGAACCCGCGGGGCTCAGGCAATCCACTTAACTCAGCCTCCCAAAGGCGCGGGGTTACAGGCTGAGCCACCGAGCCCAGCAATGGTGGAACATTTTAAAGCAGATTCTCAGATAGTATTTATCCTGTAATTGTATGTTTTTTTTTAAAGGACAGTGACAGTGTCTTGTTCTGTCTTGTATCCCCAGAGTTTAGTTCTGTCCTGTTCTTCAACCAGTACCTAATGATCTTTTCAAACATATCAAAAGATTATAGTATTCTCCTGCTTGAAACAGTAGAGTAACTTATCATTACACTACGCTGTACATAGTATGTCTTCTGCTTTTCTCTTGACCTCATTTATAGTACTCCTTGCTTGTCTTAGCTATGCTGTAGCCACCCAGGCTATGTCATTTCTGGGATATGCTTGATATTGCTTGTCAGTTCCTTTGTTTTGCTTGGAAATTCATGGGAAGGTGAACTGCTTCTCATTTAACCTCAACTTAAATGCCACTACTTTAGAGGAGTCTTTCCTGACCACTCTGTCATAAAATAAAGTAGTTCCTCCCCTTCTAGCCATTCTTTGTCACATTATCCTGTTTTGTTTCTTTTCTGGCATTTATCATGATTTGAAAGACATTAACATTTATTATCTTTCATGTTCTCTCTTTGCTTCTTACCCAGTTTAAATCCTTTGGTTCATTATACTCACTTCCTTCCCCCTCTGTCCCTTCAGTGTACTTGCCTGGTAATACCCTGTCTATGTTAAATCCAGTTCTTCTGTGCTTGCATCTGCACAGCTCATCTAGCTGGAGAAAAACATATATCCTTGCTGACTGGTTTCATTTTATTGTTTATTTTTGGTTTTTTTAAAGGTACTCAAGTATGCCAATTTTATTGTTTCCCTATACTTGCATTATTCTACTAAAAATTGAAAAAATAGCACATTGGAATTTCCTTTAATTGCAATTCAAATTTTTGGAAAACCAGAAAAATCTAATTTTGCTAATTTTTAAATTCATTGTAGAGATGAGATCTTGCCGTGCTGCCCAGGCTGGTCTTGAACCTATGACTCAGGCAATCCTCTCACCTCCGCCTCCCTAAGTGCTGGGATTACAGGTGTGAGCCATTGTGCCTGGCAATGTTTTCTTTATATTCTTTCCCCAAAAGTTACTTTGCTCCAGATTCTTGATGTTGGGTTTTATCTCACTGACTTCGGCCTTCTAAAACGCTTGAGAATACTTGAGACTTACTTGTGCTTTTTTTTTTTTTTTTTTAAGTTGGAGTCTCACTCTGTCGCCCAGACTGGAGTGCAGTGGCCGCTCCCGGCCACCGCAGCCTCAGCCTGCTGGGCTCCGGCGAGCCTTCCGCCTCAGCCTTCCAAGTAGCCGGAATTACAGGCATGCGCTACCACGCTCAGCTG